TGAATGGAAGTCGCTGATCCATTAAATGTCGAAGGATGATGATTTAGTGAAATGAATGTTGACAGATGAGAAAAATGAGTGTTGAATGATGAGTATTGAGTGAAATAAGTGTTGTATTTATAGAGATTGTTGTATACCCAACGGCTATATTCTCAAAGTCTATATTCCCAACGGCTATATTCCAACAGCTATATTTCTAACGGCTATATTCCAACGGCTATATAAACCACTAATTTAGTCTTTTGTAGTTGCTCAAGTCCATTTTCTTTTCCTTCATTCCTCAAGTCCATATTTTCTCTTATTTGATTCCTTTACCACTTTTTCTCTTCTCTGAATTCTCAACTTTTATATAAGAAAAAAAATGGCATCATCATCACAATCTTTTCAAATCTCCGAATCTGATTCTTCAGAAAATTCGTCAGATTCTGATCGGGAAACGGTTTATCAATTCCATCAAAAAAGGATCAAAACGATTCTGGGTATTTTTACGCCTGAGAATCTAAAAGCATTATTTAAACCAAAGAAGAGACGATATATTAAACGTGATCGGGAGGATGCAGCACAAGAACTCTGGAAAGATTACTTTGCCGAAAATCCTGTGTTTCCACCTGAATACTTTCGTAGACGGTTTAGAATGCGACAACAGTTGTTTCTTCACATTTTGAACGATATTACAACTCATGACAACTTCTTCAAACAGAAGCCCGATGCTACTGGTCGTATGGGGTGCACCCCTATACAGAAGATGACAGCAGCAATACGTATACTTGACTATGGAATTTTAGCGGATCTTTGTGATGAGTACATCTGGTTAGAGAGCGCACTGCGATTGAAAGCTTGAAGAGATTTTGTGATGCTGTAATTGCATTGTATGCAGAGCAGTACCTACACTTGTCAAACGAAAGCGACATTGCATGTTTACTTTTTGAAGGGGAAGAAAGAGGATTCCCAGGTATGCTTGGCTCTATAGATTGTATGCATTGGGAATGAAAGAATTGTCCTAAAGGGTGGCATGGCACACACAAGGGGAGAGGTCGTAAGTCTACCCTCATATTGGAGGCGGTTGCATCAAAAAATCTATGGATCTGGCATGCTTTCTTTGGTATGGCTGGTTCACACAATGACGTGAATGTCTTAGATCATTCCCGAGTGTTCAATCGTATCATTAATGGTACAATGCCTCCAATTAATTATGAGGTGAATGGACATCACCGTACGTTGGGGTATTACCTATCTGATGGTATATACCCTAAGTGGACAACTTTGATTCAAACCATTCCGCACCCAACTACTGAAAAAAAGAAATTATTTGCTCAAAGACAAGAAGCCGTTAGGAAAGATGTTGAACGGGCATTTGGTGTGTTGCAGATAAGGTAGGCTATAACGCATGGACCAGTATATTATTGGAAGAAAGAAAACCTGAGCAAGATAATGAGAACGTGCATTATATTGCACAACATGATCATAGAAAACGGGGGCAACACTAACATTTTGGAATGGACACCTCCAACTGATGAGTCGGTCTACCTTCCACAGTACAATCGAGACTGATCATTTTTGGCGGCACACATCTCCACTCGCCTCAGCAGAATTCACAATGTAGAAAACAATGGAGATCTCAGGAGAGATCTTATGGAGCATTTGTGGAATAAATTTGGCGATGAAAAGGTTTAATGATAATATTGAGTAAAATGTATTTTTTCATATTGTATGTTTGTGATGAATAAAATATTACTTTACAATTTTTTTTTTCTTATATATTTGTTGACAAATTTTAAAGAAAAAAAAAATCAAAATCATAAAAAAAAAAAAAAAAATTATAATAAAATTCAATTACATATAAAAAGGAAATAGTAAAGAAAAAAAAAAAAAAAAAGTCATTTCTAACAATATGATTTTTTGTTTTAAAAAATTCATATATATTTGTTGACAAATTTTGAAATCATAAATATTTATTTCAAAATAAAAAATAAAATAAAATAATCAAAATCATAAATTTATTTTTTACAATAAAAATAAATTACATATAAAAACAAATAGTGAAGAAAAAAACCAAAAAAAAAAAACAAAACAAAAAAAAAAAAAAGGGAAAAGAGCCGTTGCTGCAGCAGGTGGGGCCTTGTTTAGCTCGCAATGCTATTGTTAGCAGTTGCGATGTACTTTGCTAGTCTTTCTCTGGGTCCCACAAGTTGCTAGCCTTATATCAATTCAAACACTAGCAATACTGACTCCCTAATTAGCAATAAAGTCCTTGTACCGGTTTCTATGAGGAAGCCACGGCTTGGGATTACGTATTGATGGAATTTTCTGGAGGCCAGCCAATGGGACACATACTCCTCTCATGGGATGTATTGTTTCATTGGCCCAGCTGGACCTGAGTTATTGCAGCCCAATCTTGTTGACTGAAACAACAAATGCCAACTATATTTTGTTTGTCGTTGGGTTAATCAAATAGCAGGCCCATTGGATTATGGGTTGTAGCATGCAAAGTCCACAGGTTCTTGTTGTGCATTGGGATAATTGTATTGGTCTCCAAGCCCATGCAGTTATTTCTGGCAAAGTTTAGGGCAGTTCGCATATCCACAAAACCCCCTATTCAGCAGAGGTGGATTTCAGGGAACCATTGGGTGTTCGAGGCGGCGAGAGGTTTTCTGCTCAACTGTTCTGCTCTCAATTATGCTTGCTCCTATGCTATGTTTGGTGCTTGTTGTCCGGATCATATTCTTGCATTTGCAAACGATGACTTATGTCAGGGGCGTAAGTTGGCGACACATACAATTCGTCCCAATCACAATCTTTTACAGCTCAACTTACGTTGTTGGTGGGTGTTAGTTTGCTCAGTGCTCCAGATACCTTTTAAGCTTTAGGTTGTTATCATGACTGATGTCATGACCTAGCTTAGTGATGGGTTTATCTGGGCTGTTTGTTTGTTTTGTCAGTTTTTGTGGTTATGGTATTTGCTGTGTAAGTGCCGTTTGGCTGCTTTCTCGTCAAGGTAAAAAATATATATATATTTGCAAAAGACGAAGGAGGTTAGAGAGGAGGTGGGAGACTTTTTCCTCCAAAATTGAGCAAATAAAAAACATAAGAAGAAATCACTCCTCCTTACTTTTTTTCTTTTTTCTCTTCTCTTCAACCAAATATAAAAAGTCTTTATCTACCCATCCTCTCATCCACCCGTCCCGATCCAACCAAAATTAGCATAAGGAATAGTCCTGGGCTAATTGCTGATTTGGTGGTCTGTGGACACTATAATACAGTACTATTCAAAGACTTAACTAAGAGGGGGTCTCATTGTTATCCATCTTAAACATCCCTTTAGGTGGGTCCCACCTTACTACTGTGCAATTGACCCCAAATGTGCACCATCATATCTTTTTCTTTCTTTATAATTTTCTTGTTTGTCATGGTTCGGCGCAATTTTATCTTTTTCTAATCAGATCACCACAAACATCAATCTTTTTGGTCCATCTTGATTGTGTATGATGTTGACCAGTTTATCCACACTTCTGGTAGTGCGATGTGCTGCTCAATGACGCATTATGTCGGTTTGGGAGGAGAAAGCTTTAGGGTTTCAGATTCAATTCATTCTTTTTCTTCTTTGATTTTGTTTTATAAAATAAAAAATTAGATAGATATCAACAAGATTTATTGAATTATTGGTTTTGAAAATACCTTAAACTAGCTGAACTTTTAAAACTAGAAATTTGAATTTTTTTTAATTTTATTTTTTATATTAGAGTTAATTTTAAAACTAATTTTCAGTTTAATTTACAATCCAGTGACGTGAAGATCAGATTCTTTTAGGTAGAATTTTCTTCTGAAGTGATCTATAAAATGAATAAGCACTACAAAATTTCCGTGTTCAACACTAACCACTTTAGTACGGACACTTTTACTAAGGAGTCGTATTCGTATCGTACTCATGTTAAACACAGATATTTTTCGGACACTCCTTGAATGCGTATCCGACATTTCATATATGTGTCTATAAATAAAAATGAATTTTATTATTTTAGACACTTCACCGACACTTTGCTGACACTTCCTGAACATTTTTCACACAAGTGTACCCAGTAATTTTAAAAATAATATAATTCATATCATGACAAAGTAATAAAATAATAATATATATGATATAAAAATTATTACAATAATAAAATAATTTCATTTTATAATAAATCTTTATATAGAAATTATAAATAAATTAAAGTTTTAAAATATTATTATTGAATAAATGTATAAAAATAAATATTTATATCATTAAATAAATATATATAAATAAATATTTATATTTATATGTAATCGTATTCATATCATACTGATACTATATTTTTGTTTTATTTTTTAAAAATTTAATGTATGGACATATCCATGCTACCATAACTAACCACACAACACCCAGGTAATAAGTTATTGATTGTCTTGTGTTTAGGACCCACCTTAGAGGTCATTTCACTGTCGTGGATTGCTATGAAGAGTAGCAGTCTGGAGAGGAGTTGGGTTTATTTAAAAATATTTTGTAGATCTCGGAAACTCAAATACCTTCCCTTGGTTTATATAAAATGAGAAGAGTATACAATACCGTGGTGTATTGATCTGCGTATATTGTATTGTATACCTTCTACTGTCTTGGGATTCAAAATAAAAAACTAAATGGCAGTTATGTTTGGTTTTGAAATTCTGACACTAAATAATATTTAAAATAAATCATTATTACATCTTTGTTGATTTGATTATCTTTTGGAACAGATGCAGTCTTAGGGGGTAAGATTCCAAAATTCTGTTCATAAAAGAAAATTACTTTCCACACACACAAACATATATAACATTTAATTTATAAATTATTTTTGCGGCAATCTTCTTTAGAGGTTAAAAAAAAAAAAATGATTTGTTAGTCATACAAGTATATGACACACAAATTTTGCCCCTAGCCAAGTACCTTCAATTCCTTCCACAAGTGGTGTTTAAGCCACACTAAAAAGTGCAAACATGGCACAGAAAAAGCAATGAAAAAAATAATATTTCAGTCATTGTAAATCTTGCTTGAAACAAAAACCATATTGGAACACTGAGAAGAGCAGCTCTCTCAGTTAACAAATAGCATAAAGCATAACAGAAACAACTGGAAAAAAATTGATTATAGTTGAAAAGGACAAGAATTATACCCCAACAAAATTACATTTAATAGTCTTCCCCTTCATCTTCCTCTTCAACGCCTTCTGCCCCAACTTCCTCATAGTCTTTCTCAAGAGCAGCAAGATCTTCACGGGCTTCTGAGAACTCCCCTTCCTCCATGCCTTCGCCCACGTACCAGTGGACAAATGCTCGCTTGGCATACATGAGATCAAATTTGTGGTCGATTCTGGAGAAAACCTCAGCCACGGCTGTGTTGTTACTTATCATACAAACTGCACGCTGCACCTTGGCAAGATCACCAGCAGGAACAACTGTTGGGGGCTGGTAATTGATGCCACACTTGAAACCAGTTGGGCACCTGAAATAATGCACATACCGATTAAGATAATGATACGTCCTGGTGCAACTATTGCTTATGTGTAATTGTTTCGTAATGTTTATATATGACTACTCAGTAGTACTCACCAATCAACAAACTGAACTGTCCGTTTTGACTTGATGGTACCAACAGCAGCATTGACATCTTTGGGAACTACATCACCACGATACATTAGACAGCATGCCATGTACTTCCCATGCCTTGGGTCACACTTGGCCATCATACTTGAAGGCTCAAAAACAGCATTTGTGATCTCAGGAACAGATAACTGCTCGTGGAAAGCTTTTGCAGCTGAGATCACTGGTGCATAAGATGAGAGCATGAAATGAATACGAGGATATGGCACAAGGTTGGTTTGGAACTCCGTAACGTCCACGTTGATGGCCCCATCAAATCTCAAGGATGTGGTCAAAGACGAGATAACTTGAGATATCAAACGGTTCAGGTTGGTGTAAGTTGGCCTCTCAATGTCTAATGATTTCCTGCAGATATCATATATAGCTTCATTATCCAAGAGCACAGCAACATCTGTGTGTTCAAGGAGGGAATGAGTGGACAACACACTGTTGTAAGGCTCCACAACTGCAGTTGAAACCTGAACATCTCGGGAAACTTGTCACATAAAATAGTTCATACTAAGAGCTGAATCTTAAACATACAAGAAATAGAAATGCCCAAAGATAACATAAATGTAATGAACAGGGCAATCAATTGACTCGCTTAAATATTAAAGGAATTTCAAACATTTCTGCTTCCCCCATGTTGAAAACATCAACTCAATGATCCTAACCCTATCCAAGTTACAGAAAACACTTGAAAATTTAGAAATACAGTCTCATGCTTAGTTTTTGGCTGTCAGAACTTGAGTTTTTAGATTTAGTTTTTCCTTTTCCTTTGTTTTTCTTTTCTTATTTATTATTTATTATTTATTTATTTTTGGGGAAGTGGGGTACAGATTAGAGAGTGATTCAAACTGATTCTTTACATAAAGAGAAAAAAGACCTCTGGTGGATGCAAGAACAGGGAAAAAGATCAATTCCGTATATGCTTTGTTTGCTTCCATATCAGCCAGGTTCCCCATATCTTGCTTTTCAGGCAATTATAAAAGTGCAAAATAATAATAATACTAATAATAATAAGTATACCTGAGGAGAAGGAAAGATGGTGAACCCAAGTTTTGACTTTTTCCCGTAATCTACAGACAAGCGCTCTAGAAGTAAAGACCCCAAACCAGAACCAGTGCCACCACCCACGGCATTAAATACCAAAAAACCTTGTAAGCCGGTGCAATTGTCAGCTAACTTTCTCACTCGATCAAGGCATAGATCGATGATATCTTTCCCGACTGCAGCACATAGCCAATAAAGCAATTTATGCCAATTAAATAATATAAAATTATGGCTGTGGCCGACCTCATCCATATGGGACAAAGGCAAGGGTGTTGATGAAATAATATATAACCATTGCTACTGTTTTTATTTTTTGCAAACCATTGCTACTGTTGACATTGCAGAAACATAACCACCTGTGTAATGTCCTCTGGCAAAGTTATTAGCAGCATCCTCTTTACCAGAGATAAGTTGCTCAGGGTGAAAAAGTTGTCTGTAGATTCCAGTCCTAACTTCATCAACAACAGTGGGTTCCAGATCAACAAATATTGCCCTAGGCACATGCCTGCCAACACTTGTCTCGCTGAAGAAGGTATTAAAAGCATCTTGTGCAACACCTATTGTATTGTCACTGCAAGCATATAAGAGACCATATGAAAACCCAATACTGATATTTAGTTAATTCAACCAAAAAAGTAAAGAAAAAAATAGTGGATTTTCCTTGGCACAACAAAATAATCTATTTTTCATTCCTTCAAATTGTTAAGCATATGTAGGTTCAACTATACAGAGGATTTGCAAGTAAAATTGTCAATTTATGCCAATTTAATGAATCAAGGCCTGTGCTTTCAAGCAGGAAGTAATTCACACAGTTGAAAATCAAAATATTACTTAAGGACCGTCAGTATTGAGCATGCAATTTGTTTAGCATACACAACTTCAAATACAACAAGTATGTGCCTAGTACATTCTATTATGTGAATTGAAACAATCAGAGTCCAGACCCCAAAAGTAGAACCAAGTCACAAAAGTAAAAAAAAATAGGTATAATCAAGAAACTATCAAGAATTCAGTGTACCATTTGTTGCAGAGAAGTGACAAACATAGTCATAAATCAAAAGAGAAAGTTTAAGCAAACAAATTGATGCCACTTCAAGAGCCTGACTATCTACAATTGCCTTGGGTTCAAATTTACTAGTGAAACAATTAACCTGATGAGGTGATTCTAGACCACCTGATTCCTGAATGACTACAATTAAGCACTATTCTTGACCATTTAGGCCTTGTCAATTGATCCAGAAATAGCTACTGTTCCAACAACCTTAATCTTGTGTTTTGTTTTACAATATAGTACAGCAACAAAAGTGAGGGCATACCCTCACTGCACCAACTAGCCCCCTAAAACAAAGAAACTAGGCAGAGACAAGGGCAGACCCACTTAATTGCCCTAGACTAGACAATTGTATCCAAAAAACGAAAGAAAAACACTTCTCCTTTTGACTCTGAAATGACTATTCCAATGGGTTTTGGACTAGTCAACTGTTTTATCAATTTGTTTAGGCTATCCAATTCTTCATTTTGATTACTTTGAGTCAAGAAAATAAAAAGCAATCATATAATTCTTACTACCTATATATGTAAATACACGTATGTATTTCACAGGGAGGGGGAGATTGGGTCCAATGAAAATAATGCATTTATCTGGTGAACCATTATAGTGATTTTCAAGAAATCAACATTGTGAGTAAAGGACATAAGAGGATGTGAAAAAAATTCAAAATAAAGAGACCAAGTTTAGTAATGTCATTGAAACCCTTCAATAGACTAACATAATGCTATGAGCCAACATAACAGTCCCGCTCAGAAAGGGGATCTGACTGAATCTGGAGAAAGTAAAAGAGAAATTTCGCTTCTAATACATGCCAAATATTCGATAAAGTGCTCAAGAAAGTCAATGATTCTAAATCCAAAAAGTGACTTACTGAGAGTAAGAAGAAGAACAGAGTAAAAGCATTAATCCAAGCGATGCAGTGACCGATCAAGTCAGAAACCTCAAACCTACTATACTAGCACAACAAGAAAATGCTATTGACAGCTATGAAAGACGAATAACAAACCATGGCAAGTAACAAAATAATAAATAAATAAATAAATAAATAACAAGACCATGATTCTGGACAGATCGAGTTTCAGATCCATAACCAGAAAAGAAAATCCAGTTGGAAGAATTTGAAAATACAAACCAAAAATGATGATCAAGCAAGGGGTATATAGATCCATAGTACCCACATACAAATATACACACACACACACACACACACACACACATACATAAACACACATATTCCGTAAGATGCGTTACCTGGGCATCATTCCATCAGGTTGAATGCCATGCTCGAGACAGTAGAGCTCCCAGCAAGAATTTCCCACTTGAATCCCAGCCTGTCCAATGTGAATGCTTATCACCTCTCTCATCTCTCTCTTAACTCTCTCTAGGTCGAAACTGGAGGGAAGGTGAGTAGAAGATATTTTGAGAGTTTTTAGAAGAGGGGTTTAAATTAAATGAGAGAAGGTCTCTCTGTGGGAGTAAGTACTAATTTATGGAATCGTTGGCTTAATTAATTGGATTTGATAAGAATTTGGAGTCCGTAGTGCAGATGGATCCATCGCTAAGTGACAACTGGTCTGTGGGCTCAGCCAGACCTGCTGTTGTCTGACACGTTACCCTACTTGGATGAACGACCACCAACTCAATGATTCTCTGTCGTAATGCCTGATTTTCTTCATGTATTATCATGCATATACTGCTAATTTTGCACCATATTAACTAAATAAACTGAGGGTTCAATTTATCTTTATTTTTTTAATCTGTCAAAAAAGATACATTCACTTTGTTTTTAACAATCATTCATTAGAAAAATAAAAAAAATTCATTAGACTACTATTTTTGATAAATGAGAATTCAATTCATGAGTTTATCAATACTAAAATAATTTTAGGTTAATATATACTTAATGATGTTATAGTCTGAATTTTGTTCAATCTCCCGACTTGATTTTGACTTTGCAATTTCTAGAGTTTGGGAGCTGAAATTTACAATCTCTTATTGTTCGTGTTCTTTATATATAACGTATTTGTATCCTTTATGTATAATTTATTTGTTTTTGTACAGTGAATTTTTAATTTACACGTTTGACCGTTTGTCATAATATATTTATTTATACACACACACACACATATATATATATATATATTTTACATACATATCTGTATTTATGTCATAGTTTGCAATACTTGTCACGGTCGCAATGTAACAAACTTGGACAAAGTCAGTGTAAACTGACCAATACGAATCGCGTATCGAACAATACGACAAACCATTCTGCCAACTCACATTGTTCATTTTTTTTGGGACTGAATTCAGCTATTACTATTATTGAATTCAAATTAGTGATGAGTCCATTACATGACGCATGATGACATCATATAGTAGGATGCAACACCATAATCATATAAATTGAATTCGATAACTATTGAAATTCGGTCATTAAATCATCATCATTATTATTATTATTTTGGTATATACAGTTATTATTAGGATAATTTCACTTATCTCCTTTGGGGTTAGGCATAATTACAGGCGATACCTCTTACATTTCAAAAATTACACCTTCCTCCCTCAAGGTTTGCTCCGTCGTAACACTTAGCCCCCTCCAGTGAAAGTCAACGCCGGTCAATGATGATTTTTGATGACATCAGCTATTTTTAACCCTGTAATACCACATTTGCCCTTACTATATTTGCAAAGACATTTTAACCTTTACTTTTGTATTAAATAACCTATATAGAGAGAGAGAGAGAGAGAGAGAGAGGGGAAAAAAAAAAAAAGAAAAAAAAAAAATAGAAAGACAAATACTTCTAAAACCCCAATTTTTCATATTTTGACTTGGTATCTGAATCAAGGGATAAACGGAGCAGGACATCAAAGAGGTCTTTAGGATATATATGTTATTATGTCCCAAACGGAGGTGCACAAGGGACTGGTCGGGACGGCGAGCAAGGACAGACAGAACATCAAGCGACAGCAAGCTATGAATAACCTACTGGGGACTAGCAAGGATGTGCTCAATCGACGGCGAGCAAGAAGAACGGCAGTGACGCGGTGGCGGTAGTGTGGCGACGAACAACAAGAGTCGCTATTCCGGCAACAGCAGATGAGCAAGGATGTGCTCAGTCGACGGCGAGAAAGAACGACAGTGCCACGGTGGCGGCAGAGTGTGGTGATGAGCACTTACTGGAAGAGTCGCGATTCCGGCTGCGATAAGCACAGTGGTTATTCCGATGACGGTGATAGCAAGGACTGGGTCTGAATTGAACGGTGGTGATGGTTTTATCGGTGTTTACCGGCTTGAGGTCTAAATAGTGTGCAAACAGCTCGGCACGGCGGTGAAGGAAGGCAAGCTCAGAAAGGCGTGCATAGACTCTTGTAAATGATGATGGATAACGGATCTGCTGTCGGTGATCACAGGGGCTGTAGAAAGAGAAAGCGAGCCTAGCGACGCGAGATACCGACGGTGAACCAGTGAGCTAGGCAGTGAAGTAGCGCTCTGATCCGGTGACGAAGTGAACTGAAATGGTGGCGGTGATGCACAATCTCAACAGCGAGATCGACCGACGGTGAGCAAGGATGTCGGTGCTGAACCGGTGGCGACGGTAACTTGGTGGTGAGAACTATGGCAAGCTTGGTTGTTCAATTCTGTAATTGGTTTGTTTTTTCCCAATGTAGAGGACCAGAAATCTCTAGTTACAGAGAGAGTAGATGTTGGAGGGAGGAGAGATGTGTACGGAGATAATTGGGGGTAGCTTTGTCATTTTGTATTTTGTTAATTTTTTATTTTATATAATAAGGGTATCTTAGTCATTGGCAAGAATGCCACCGGAATTTAACTCGGGTCACATTGAGGGGGGGTTTCTGTAATTTTTGAAACGTAAGGGATATCGCCTATAATTACGCCTAACCTCATGGGAGGTTAGTGAAATTATCCTAGTGAATATTTAACTTAATGAATGAAAATGATAAATCTCAAAAGAATCTTATACAAATGGAGTAAGCCTTGAAACATCGTGATTTAAGGTACAAAGTTTGAATTATAAAATGAACAATACTTATTTACTCATCGGTGAGTATGTTATCGTGCTTATCAATAATGTAATTCAATGACAAATACACATACAGTTTTCAATTATAAAATCAGAAAATTAGAGGTTGTGATTGAATTTATTTTCCTTATTTATTATTATTTTTATTTTGTAATTGCATTTGTGATTGTAACCACCATGATCTTAAAAAATACCGTTTTCGTGAGAAAATACTGTTTTAGAAGTTTAAGTTATATGTGGCTGCTAACTAACATGCTATATATAATATATCATAAAAATTATTTAGTGATATTTATCATTTCTCTTTTAAATTATATTAAAAGAAAAAAAGTTTAACATCAACTCAATTTATTTGAGTGATGAGAGAGAGGTATTGCACCTTTACGACGAAGACAGATTTCACCTAATATATGGATTACCAATCGAGAAAGATGCATCTCCTTCGTTCTCCCGAATTTAACGTGATATCATATATTTAATAATTGAATTTTCACATTAAAATAGTACGTTAACATTAACTTTAAAATAAAATATACAAAAAACAAACAAACAAAAATAAAGAAAAAGTTTGCTTGATGTCATGTGACGGTTATATAAAATAGTTTTCTTTATGCTAAATAATAATATATATATATATATATATATATATATATGAATTAATTATTATAATGGAGAGAACATATAAATTTGCTTGCTTTTTCTACAGTTGCATCTTTGTGGGATTTCGAATTGTTTAGGATATAATGTACGGAATTACTAAGTTGTCCCATTAATTATCACCACTGCTAGTAGTAGATGGTGATGATTAAAATATTCCCATCATGACCATCATTTTTAATAGATATTGTTTATGTTGTTCTATGTTTAGGAATGCATTCCGATGATGATGTTCTAATGCAAAAAAAATTGACAGGTAACAATTTTGCATCAAATATCTGATATAAGGTAATTTTTTTTTTTTTTTGTTTATGTTGTTCTATGTTTAGGAATGCATTCCGATGATGATGTTCTAGTGAACAAAAATTGACAGGTAACAATTTTGCATCAAATATCTGATATAAGTTAATTTTTATTTGAGTATTTTGCTTCTTTTTCTTTCTTTTTTTTTGTTAATTAAAAAAATTATTAAAAAATAATGTTTAATTTGGGAGGGAGAGAATAATACTGTCACAAAGCATCAGAAAAAAAAAAAATGGACCCATCAAGATGTCAAATAAGCCCACTTTCAAAATGAACCCATTTCATCAACAAATAAAAAGAACTAAGAAGCCCACAAACTCAAGACCTGCTACGTTTTTCAGAAGACAAACCATTCTTAGCAATATCCGATCAATCAAAGGCCATCATAACATATTTTTACGTCGTCTTCAATATGTAAGAGAGATGTATTTTATTTTATTTTATTATTATTATTATTTTTTGGGTAAGTAAGTGGTTTTGTAATTTGTATAAAATAAAATAAAATAATTACAAGCAAAACATGGGGCATGCCCTATGGCCCAACAGAGAGGACACTTGGGCTAAAACATAGATAAAGATCATGTCCACAAAGTGGTCCAACGAAACAACGAACATTTCTTAAAAACGAAAAAACAAGGTCAGACCCAATAAAAACACTAAAATAAACAAACCCAATTCTACTCATATCGAGAATCAGTTACTGCGGAGGTGGGGTGTTTGTGGTGGTGGTGGTTGAGAGAGAGGGTTGGTTATGGAGAAGGCAAAGAAAGGGTTTGTATGGGTCGGCTCAGAAAAGGAGGATGGTAAGTTCCAATCACCTACAATTTCTTCAGCAAAGGAAAAGTTTCCATCGAACTGCATTGATCATCTCATTTATCATGCCCGTTGTGTTTGGGAGTACCGAATCGGTGTTTTGAAATTAGAATCGGCAAAAAATTAAATTAAAATTTTAAATTTAATACGCAGATTCAGTACTCCAAATACAATAAATAAGATGTTTTTCATCTCCAGCAACCGATTTTACCCCAATATACGCCTCCTTCAAGATATAATGAAAGGAGATTATTATGAAAAACATTGTAGATGTATGAAAAGTATTGTAAAATAATTGCAACTGTGGAAAAAGCCTGTATACCGGTCGATGTGTGGGTACTTACATGTCGAACGAAACTTCCTAGATTTTAATTTTTTTTTCTCTTTTTATCCATTTGATCAACCAATTTTGTACACAATTATCCCACAATACAACCACTAAAATACCACTAACCAGAACAAAATGCCATTGAATGCGTATATATATATACTTACGTTAAAATACCCCCAATAAATCTCTTCTTGATATACACATGCTTACATACCCAAATACAAGTAATGCGAATATTAATGCAACATTAGAACAATACTTTGTAAAAATTACAATAGAGAAATGTATTAACATCGCTACCAATT